CACAGCCCTCTAACAGTTTCTAATTTCCTTTCAGACATCAGCTCTTCTCTACTCTGCATTCACAGGGTTGGGTGGGATTGAGCTCACCTCCCCTGCCCTCAGGACAGGCTGGCCTACATCCCAGGCCTGGCATACCATAGCATATGATTGGCCTGGAGTTGAACGTATGACCCAGTCCAGGCCAATAAGATCCAAGTCTGGAACTGCAGCTGAAACAGTTGGGAAAGAAACATTCTTCTTACTGGAGTTTCTAAACTGGGAGTGTGCAGACCTGCAGCTGTGAGAGGCCATCTGTGCTACCACATGGGGACAGCCTGCCCCAGAGTGAAGCCAACAGGGAAAGAGAGCCAAGATACCATGCGAAACAATTTTTAAAGATCTCATTTGAGCCTCTGGATTCAGCCATGCCTGAATACAGCACACTCCAGGTTTGCTCAGTGATATGAACCAGTAAAACCTGGATTTTTGCAACAAGAGACCAAAGGATCACACTTACTAAGAGCCAAGTACCATGCTGAGGAAGGCAGCTGCAGCTACAAAGAAGACAGGAGCCTGATCCTCAAAGAGCTCATGATCTATCTTTTTATTTTTAATAACAGCTTTTCTGAGATCTAATTCACATACTGTAATAGTCATTCTTTTTGAGTGCACAGTTCCTTAGTTTTTAGTATGTTCACATAATTAGGCCTCCACCTCTACTCTTATTTCCTATCCCAAAACCAAAATTGATGAACACGTTCTTTCCCTCTTCTCCATTCACTGGATGCGTTTCTCAAACCAGGGCTATGGTTAAGCACCAGACAAACACTTACAGAGTTCAGCCCCAATCCTTCAGTTGTTGGCATCCTTTCTAAAGCACCAGGAGTAAGGGAAGTGATACCTGGCAAAGCTGCCCAACCAAAGGACAAGGTCACCAGTCACCAGGTTCTCTCCAGGTTTTCCAAGCTGTCTTATGATGGTCTCCCTACAAGTTATACACCTGGACTCTGCTCTTCTGGATTCCAGAACTTTCCTGTAGTTTACTACAGAATGTTTTAATATACTAACTAGTGAAAAAACATATAAATCCAACAATAGGGAAGTGATTAAATACTTGTGCCCCTATAAGGTATAAGAGTATGCAGCCATTAGAAATGATCTTTAAAGAAAAGCTTTGAGGATGAAGGGGAAATACTCATGGTATTACATTAATTTAATCAAACACAATATTTAAAGAGTGTAACACAGAAAACACTGAAAATTAGAAGGAAATAATGCTAATTATTAAATGTAATTTTTGTGCAGGTGTATGAGGGGCAATTAACTTTTATGCTTCTCTGTGATTTTTCAATTTTTCTTAAATGAATAGTAACCAAATCAGAGCCACCAATGTTATTTTTTAAACCCATTCCTTGGTTACTATCTTATTTTATTAATGTGACCACCAAAGAAAGAAAACTCACATGGAGAACACATTGGAATGTCCTACAGAACTTATAAAAAAGATACTGCCCTTCATATTTTTTAATCAAACCAATAAGTAAATGTGTGGCTTTTACCTGCTTAGAGGCTCAGAGCAAAAATGTAATACTCAAATGCAACAAAGAGTCCAGCTTGAGTAGTATAACTTTATGCTTCTATGTACTTCCTGACACTTCCTTTTGTCTATGTTTTCAGGGTCTTGCTTGTGTTTCTATGTTTGTTTGGTTGGTTTTGCTGCTTTTTTTTTCTTTTTCTTTTGAATTGGGAATTGATTGCAGGGTATTTGCACTGAACCCCATATTCCCAGGCTATTCTTTTAATCATTTATTTATTTAGTTACTTAGTTAGTTGGTTAGTTAGTTCAGTGTCTTGCTCTTTTGAGACAGGTTCTCACTAAATCACTAAGGAACCAGCTAGCTCTCTGCCTCAGCCTCCAGGCGTGAGCCACCATACTTGGTTTTGCATGTGTTTTCATCCACACAAAGCCTCCTTGGAACACACAAACAAGTGTTTGCTGAGATCATTTGATGTTGCTCCAGAGAGGCTGAGGTTCTGACACATAAGTGTTCCATTTTACCCAGAAATGGTATTGAATATCTCTTTAAAAGTTATTGTTTTCCCCATCACAGTAGGGTATCTACCAAGGTACCGGTATATATCTCCTTGCCTGAGACAGCCTATTCCCCAGGCACCAGATTAACTCTTTCCTTGCTTCAGCTTTTTTTGCAGGCAGTGTGGACTAAGGTCCATCCTGGCTGCCATAGCCACTGACCAGGAAATAACAATAAATGTCAGTAAAGCCAGCCAAAGTCTGTTCACTACATCTATCTTGCATTCAGATCTTCAGACAATAAGTGACACCATAGTAGGCAAGTGGCTAGGCAGCACTCCCACTGCACAAGCATGGGCCACACTCTCTCACTGGTCACAAACACCCTTCAGATTGCCCTGGGTTTTGCTACAAATTACTCAGATAGAGCTTTCCTTCACTCTGGCTCAAAGAAAAAAATATCTCTGCTGTAAAGACGAGGTCACTTGGAAAAAAATAGGTAATTATATCATCTGAGTGCTCTCTCAAACGTGATGCCTCATAGCAGGAGATGATATATTTGATTGCCAGCCAAAATTATTCTTGCTGGGGATAACTTCACTCACTCTCCCAGAGACCTCAAAAGTAAGCAAAAGAGGGAAGCATGCAATATTTTAATTGTGACCATGTTATCACAGCTAAAACCACCGTGTCTTACTTGTGAATCCATACCCAGTGAAAATGAGGGAAGGGAGCAATATCATTTATCCAGGGCTTACAGCATGCCAGAAGGCACCCAAGGCTGAGCCAGGCAGCTCAAGGCATCTTTCCATAAGCCTCACATCACCGCCCTGCAGAGTAGATAGAATGTCCTCACTGTTTAAGATGTGGGCATCTCAGCTTAGAGAGATTAGACACGTAGCTCAAGGTCACAGGGGAGACAAGTTTCTGAGTGTTGAACCCCAGCCCAACCTACCTCAAAGCCCTGCTTGTGGCACTTTGAAATAGCTACAGACCTTTCCTACTGGCACGAGGCTGAAATAGTCCTCTGTTCTCTTTCCCACTGTTTCCAAGATATCCTTGCTCAAGAGCCTCTGACTGCCTCATCTTCTTGACTTGGGTCCCTCTCACTCATAAAGTCATCCCAGACACACTTGAAAATAAAATGTGATAGTTTCCACCAACACCCTTAAACCAACACGCAACCCCTTCAATGCCACAAATAAAGCAAGAGAAAATCTCTCCCAAGCAATCTTCTCAAAGGGAAGAAAGTGAGGGAGAAAGCGTTGTGCAGCTAATAATGTGTGCTGATGATGCAAGCAGGGCTGCCCTGTCTACACTTGTTCTCTCTCTCTCTCTCTCTCTCTCTCTCTCTCTCTCTCTCTCTCTCTCTCTCTGTCTCTCTCTCCTCTCTCTGTCTTCCAGAAGAATATGCAGGAAAGCAACGAGGACACGGTGCCAAGAAGAGGTGCTTCGGTGTAATTGCGAGGCTCTCTCCATTTATGTGTGCAGGACAAGTACCCTAGAGAACTTGAAATGGTCGGGCAACTATGAGGGCGACTGGAATGTCATTTGAAAATAATTTCACACCCCGTTAGTCCCGTGCAGCCACTCAGCTGGCATCCTCCTGGGTCAGAGGACGCCTTTCTGCCTGCAGCAGCCTGCGCGCCGCGCGGCCAACTGCCACCGGTTCCTTCGCCTTTTATTTACAGCGCAAAGCAGGCTGGTTCATCAGTGGATCCGGGAGGTAGAGAATGAGCGAGATACTCGGCTCTTTCCCTCAGGACATAAAAGGACCAGGTACAGAAGGAAGTAAAGCCCAGGTCTTCCCTGAAGGAGTCTGCAACTCTGCTCCAGTAGACATACCCGGGGAACCCCAGGAAGCGAGATCAACCCTAGCGCCTTGCGGGTGGTTGGCGCGATAGAAGAGGCGCCAACCAAGCCCACTGCACAGAAAATCACTGCCCCCTTCAGGCCGTATCTCAGATTCTGTGCGGGTTGCGTAGGGACTTCCTCAGTTCGGAAAAACTCGCAAACCCAACTGCGTGAGGCCGGATACCGCTTTTCCTGGTCCCGGTGCGTTCTAGCACCCGCCTGGTGGTGAAGATTTGTGATGAGGCTTTGAGCGAAACCCAACGCAAGGGTGCGAAAGGGGTCTTGAGGTGGAAATCTCCAAAAAGGAGGCCAGGAGGGGGAGCCCGCTGCTGCTCTCCAAGCCGGTGCTCGGGCTACTAGGACACTTCAATTCTGCACCTGGAGAAAACTGCGCCCGCAGCCGCCCGGTCAACAGCCGGACACCACTGCTACTGGACGCCACCGAGCGCCCGGAGCAAGACCTACCAGGGCACTCTGAGCAGCTAATCCAAGGGGGTTTCCTCCCAAAAGCTCTCGGGCGGGCACCGAGCAGCACTGTACACATGCAGGCAGCAGTGCTGCAGATCCCGCGGCTCCACACCTGCCGGTGCACGACACACGCCCTGCCAGCTCTGCCTGCTGTGCCCTCGTGCGTGTTAGGTCCCTGAACCCTCTGGACCTTTAAGCGCGCTTCAGCTTTCCTCGTGGACTGTGAGCAGGCCTGCGGCCCCTCCAGCCCCGAGTGGCCCAGTTTGCAGTCAGTGCTCCTGTTCCTCTCACCCGGGACTCTACACCCCTGCCAGAAGCACTTGGGCAGGGGCAACCACTGCAGGTCTTTGGGGGGGGGAGCCCCATGTCTCCACTCTTTTTCTGGCAAAGGAGACCCCAGTCTTCTATTTTCCCCACATACACGCGCACTCACATACACATATACAGTCCCAAAGGAGGAGGATGCTCAGCAAATCTGGGCACCAGCTGTGCCAGCCAAACCCAGCGAGACTTGAGGGTGCTCACCGAGCCCCAGTCCCTGGTGCCCTCGGCAGGCGGGGGCGGGTCAATCGCAGCTCCAGCCCAGGGCTGTTGCTTGCCTCTGGCCAACACTGCCCCCTCCTCTCCGGCCCCAGGTCCCCGACGCCCCTGGCAGCGGAACACTCACCTCGGTGTCATAGAGCCTCAGGTCGAGGAAGTAGGGGCGCAGGAGTGACTCGTTGCGGATCTGCTCGATGGCCAGCTCCACGGCGGGTAGCACGCCGCGCCCGATGCTGCCCTTGGCTACCTCCTTGGTGAGCGGCATGAGGCCCATGATGGAGAGCGGTGGGCTGCTGGGCGGCGGCCGGGGGGCGCCCCGCGCCCAGCCCCAGGCCCCGGGCGCCAGCGGCAGCAGCAGCGGCAACAGC